GTGATCTTTATAACCCAGCGCAGCAGAAATTCAGTTTGCACATAGTTTAGGTCAGTGTTCTGCTGCTTAAAATAATTTGTGCGTCAAAGCAGAAACACCACTATCTTAATCCAGAAACCTGAGAGCTTTACTAGTTGTACCAAAGATAATGGGTGAAAATAATCTTACACTAGAAAAGGCAGAAATGACAGTTGTCAGTGGGACAAACATCACTGTGGGAAGAATGTCACATAGAACAACAAGTGGGGAAGTGCCTAAAGCACTTCAAGACTGCCCTTTAGTAGAAATTAAGCAATAGTTCTTTTCTTTCAAAAAGATGTTTAGATAGTTGCTTATAAAATTGGATGAAGAGGCTGCAAAAAGAAAAAGCAAGTAGTATTCAAAATGTTCGGAAATTCACCCATTACTATTCAGGTTTCCAAGAGTCTCCTGCTCAAGGGACAGGACTTGTCTGCCCCGTACAACTTGTCAGTGCCAGTTTCCCTAAGCAGAGGGTTTCATTCAATAACTGCACTTTCAGTTGCTATTGTGCTTACTCAATAATCTAACAATCAATTTTCAAATCAATAGAAAAGTACTGATTTTTCCAGGACCAAACAGATCTTTGGTTATTGTCAAAGATTTGCTAGCAGAACACCCACTCGTTCAGATCCTATGCAATCAAGGCTGAGGATCTGTGTCTGTTTCTTTAATCAGTAAGGCACCAGGATTTACTCCTTTATAATAGGATGCTGAGGAACTTAATTCATAAGTATTATTTATAACGCAACCCAAGAATCTGAAAAGATTTTTGATAGTGAGAGGTATTTTCTAAATGCATTTTAGCATAAACAACAATTTTTGATTTATGCTGAGATTTATCAAAGATATATTTTTTTTCTGGAACGAATTGGAAAAATGCTTATTTACTATGCATTACCTTACTATGTACCTTACTACACTACCTTACTTCAATTTACTATGAATTACCTTAAGACATTTACTTCAATTATTTTTCCTTTATTTGCAGTTTGCCAGTTCCTTGGTTCCTTTTTTCTGTCTTCAATGGACTCAGTCCAGTTGCAGTCAGTAGTAATGGTTTGTTTTGTGCAATTGTTCTCCTTTTTCTAATGCTCTTGTTCGTAATCATTTCAATTGCTGCATGCAAGTGGAAAATGAACAAAATCCTGGGGCTCACTATGTTTGCTCTTTACTTTGTGTTTTTGATCATCAGTGTGATGCTAGAAGACAGGATAATATCCTGCCCGGTATCTGTATGACACTTGGACACTCCAAGAAATAGTGTTGTTGTAAATGAGATACCAATATGTATATATCAAAATCAAGAGGCGTTTAAGGTAGCCATTGTTCTACTGAATCCAAACAATCTGAAGTACTAACTAAGCAAGATGAAAATTAAAATATTTAATATACTAAAAATAAAATAAACCAGTAAAAAAAAGAAATGGTACATCTGCCTCTGTTTTTCTTAGAATTCTCTCCACAGAAGACAAAAAAACACCACAAAAAACATCCTAGATACTGAAACAACCCATATCAAACCAAGCACACTTCTGGGTACTCCTGGAAAAGCTGTACAGACACATTAAGTTTTCAGCGTGGCTCATCCCCTCCAGATAATGGAGCTAATTTCCAGCACACAGTGTTACTCATCACAGTAACTCTCTCTCAGCATCACACACTCTGGATTATTAATGTAACAGACTGCTCGAGCTCACTACAGTCAATGAACTTCCCTGCAGCGGGAACAAGATCAGAACCTTGTGGTTTGTTCCACTACTGCTCAAAATCCCTGTGTGGAGACACATTCTGCATCGCCCCGAAGCTGCACGAAAGCCACGAGCCTCTGTGCAGAGACATGTCCTAGGGTTTGCACTGCAGCTCGGATCTGCCAGCACTGCACCCAGCTTGGTGCAACCAGGATTTCCCTGTGCAGAGGACAAGATCCATCCTCTCGGTGAGAGCAACCGCAGTGGGTGTTCAACAAACCTTCAACAAGGTGTACAAATTGTGATGATGACCACAAGTGATGACTGGTGCTGACCCCCTGAGACCATGGGAATACTAAAGTTTTTAGAAAAAAGAGCAAAACAGAAGTTATTTCTCCAGGCAATAGAAAACATGATTTGAAAGTTGCACAGCAAACCACTTGACTTCTTTTAAGCAGGCATCTAACCTTGATGATTAAAACCAAGAGTGGCATCATATGGTTTTACATCTCACTGTAAAGAAACAAAATCATTCTGAGGTTGGACTACTGCAAACTAGTAAAGGCTAAAATCCTAAAGAGGAAACAGAAGAGTTTTCATCTTGATGCCGGCCTCCAAAATTTGGAGTGTGCCGTATCCAGCACTAGTTCCTCAAGTGAGCAAACAATGAAGTTGTCAGACATTTCTGTCATTCTAATCCATTTAATACATTTTTAATAAAACATAACCAGAGAGATTTTAAGCTTTTTATTGACTCACTGTAAAACTTTTCTTTTTGGGGGAGACAGAAAAAGATTTTACATTGTGAACACTGACTTGCTTATTTTAAATGAACTACAAACCAAAGCAAACTTACAACATACTTTTTTTTGGTAAATAAAATTTAAACATTACATATTTACAAATCTACAACCATTCTTTTAAAAAGTGCTGCTTGCAAACTAGCAAAGTACCATTTTAAAACCCCAGTGAGATAATATCCAGAAATATCCCTCTCTATAATTACTATTTGCATCTCCCATTTGTTATAAAAAGATTTTACACGCAGGAATTCTCTTTCTTGGTGTACACACTAATTCATTTGTCAGTGGAAATTAATTCATCTGGTTTTAATTGTACCAACAGCAAACCTACTCAAAAATGGGAAATAGGTAGCAGTGTCAGGGAAACAGCACAGTTCCTATTCACATTTCACTGGTTTATCTCCAATAATTATTCCAGTGGAACCATAAGTAAAACAAAATATATATTGCACTGCAAATGTAAAACCTTTCCTTAAGAGTTTTTTTTTGATAGAAGCATTATTTAGTACACAAAAGGAGAAAAGTCAGTTCATACAAAATTCTGAATCGAAAATATGTCTCAAATATTTATCCACCTTTGCAGTACTGGAAAATATACTCAAATTACTTTTCTAATAAAGGACAGTGAGATCTGAAAACTGTTTCAACACTGAATTGTATGATGCTTAAAAATTATCCTCTTTGGGACCTATATTTTGAAGATAATGATACAAGTGAGGAAAAATTCCCACTTAAAGTATATCACTATTCAACCATATTTTATTATTGTACTTCGACAGTGGAATGACTTGCAACAGACTTTTGAAACAACCCATTAAATTTAAGCAGAATGATTTCACTTGATGAAGTATACATGATATTAATTTAAAAGCACATCCAACTAAACATCAGCAATGCTTCCTGAATGCCACTGAGGATGCAAGAACACGGTCAGATTGCTTATCTTGAATAAAGATACGGATACAATCCTCTACATGGTACAATATTATATGCTCTCCTGATAATACTGGCTGTTGATACTTGAATGAAGTGGCAAGCTCTTTGGGTTTATAAGAAATGAAGACAGCTGAGAGTACTTACAACTAGGCTGAGAGAGAAGGGAGAGCCAGGGCCACCCATTCCAAGTGCTGCCTCCATCCCTGTGCCGGCGCACGCAGCCGTGGGGAAACATCCCAACAAGGGGAGGTGGTTGGAGATCAGGCTCAGCTGCTTCTGCCAGGTGAAGGCACCAAGCGTGAAGGCTGCTTCATAGCTCCAACCTCTGCAGCACCGCGGCCGCTCCGGAGGACGCAGCCGCCCTCCCTCACAGCTCCGGGGGCTGGAAACGAGCGGCTGCTCCGCGCGCTGGTTGAGAGGAACCACTGGGAAAAGCCAGGAACGCTCCATCATGCACAGCACGAGGATGCGCGGGTTTATGCACAGGGCACCTGCCATCCGCAGCTTTTACTTGGTAAATACAGTGTCGCTACTGTACAAAGCAGAGCATACATGCATGCTAATAGGTACTTACAATGAGTATGTTAAAAATAATCTGGTATTTTCACAATAGTTTAGAAGAATGAAGTGGGTATGTATTCACCCTACGCTGATATACTGTTACCATGTACCTAAATTAAAAAAAAAAAAGCTACATTTCATGCACCAGGAATACTTTACAAGTGTCAGCACTACAAAATAAAGCATCACAAATTGTTAAAATAAATTAAGTACAAAAATGGTGGTAGGCGTAACACTGCTAGGTCCACTTCAGCAATGGGGGGGGGGAAAACACTCAAATACATAATTAGCAGCAAATTAAGAGGTATTATCCCATGAAAGCTGTATCTAGCAAGATGGCATTTACAGCAAGACGCATCTTGCCGCTGGCATTAGCGCATACCTGCAGCTCTACAAATCTTAAATCCTTTCTCCTTAGGGCAGCATCCTCTTACTATGTTATATAAGGACTGGGAAGGGGTTATACTGAGCATCATAGCAGCATTACTTCTCATTTAAGCCTCTAAGAGGCCTGTTCTATTTTATTTAATAAACTATAAAGCTTACATTTACTTTATCTCCCTACTGCCTAGCTAAATATTGCTGTATTATTACACTTGTGAACTAAACATGTTTTAAAAAAATACATCTGCAGCTAGGCAGAGCTAAATATATATAATAAAATCTAATGGGAAAGCTGACTATTAGAAGTATTATGAACAGCAAAAAAAAAGAATTAGAACTAGAAAGTAAAGATTACTCAGAAGAAAATATAGCACTTTGTTGAAGCATGGCTTAATTGTTTTAGGATGTTTTATACAATTCAACATCTGGCTGACCACCTCCAATATTTTCTCTGTAGCCTACCTTCGTGTGCAGGGTGGCTACCTGACAAAGAACACAGATTTTTTTTAAAAATTATTCTCTAGCCTAAGTCAAAAGACACAACTCCACCGCAAGGACTGACATTGTATTATTTTTCTTCACAGGAAGAAAGAAAAGTTCATTTTGCCTGTGAAGTAGAGACCAAACATTCCATGTACTTTAACCACACACAACGTGCCCTGATAAGATACATCCCCTATATATTCCCTGGAGCAAGTCTGCTATATCTACCTTTTCCAAAAGCTTTGGATTAGCATTAAATACGTGACATATTTAAGAGTGTTTTAAATACATCCACCAGCAGTTCTAAACATTGCATTTTTATAAAGAAATTTTGCAGGCTGTTCCTTGCTTTGTATTACATCTGAAATGAGGTCACATTAACAAGTGCCAACAGCTGAAATGCACTGATTTCCAAATAATCTGTAGGACTATTCAATACTCTACAGACTTTTCTAGGAAAGGGGAGACATGGGAAGAGAGGAGAGGGAAGAGAAGGATATTTCCACAGAAGTGTTTTAAGGAGACATTGGTGTGTTCATTACTAGGGTTTTACAGAAATTCACCATACTGGCTATCCGATTGCTGCGGTAGTATGTTTTCCATATGCATGAGAGAAATCCTGTACCTAGAAGTATTATCTAGTTTTATATTTCTATACTGCTTTAAAAACAAATCGCTCTTCAAAAAGTAACTGGACAAGTTACTATAAATAGCAGTGTACTGCAAAAAAAATAAGCACTGTATTGCTTATGCAGCAAGTCCATTTAAAATTCACTCCAGTAATTTAAAAAATTAAAAAAATATCAACTTACTATAAACAATTTAAGATATGTATAATACAACTTTTATGCTCTTCATAACATCATGAATATTCTATGTAAACAATAGCTTTCAAAGAATTTACTTCACTCACATTAGTTTCAGTGCATTGTTTTGTCCACCTGTTTTTTTTTTTCCTTTTTATTTTTTTTTCCTCCTTTAAATTAAGGGAACTGTAACATGTTGTCCCAAGCTGGGGAACTCATATTTGTTTAGAAATGTCCTTTCTACAGATCGATCTGCAGAAAGCACAAGGGACAGGGAAATAGTATTTGGCCCATTCTTCACTCGGTCCATTTCTACAACTGCGCTTAGGCCCATTTTTCCCCCAGGCCTTTTGTCACAGTACATTCGTAGATGCATTTTTGAACACTGACGACTGAGATGCTCCTTGTAACTGAAGTGGTTATTTTACACAGGTATACATCATAGGTATCTTCTTTTTATTAGGCATATTTAAAGATATGGTTCTCCAAAAATCTTCCGGCATTCCATCACTCCTGTACTTGGTGGTCTATCACAATTATGAGTATTCTTCACTTGATTAGCTGTGAGACGATCATAGG